CCCCAAAACCCCAAAACCCCAAAACCCCAAAACCCCAAAACCCCTTAATTTGATTTAAAAATGAAATATATAAATAATATGAAACAGCCAGGCTCTAAAAAGAAATCGAGTAGCTCCTCTAGGTCAAAGAATTACTACCCCAACAGCACTGGTCTCAAGAGACCAGCCAACTCTGGAATTAACCCGGCAATGGCCTTGCTCAAGCACGATAATATTGAACTCGGAAATAATTAATATGTTCCAAGGCGGAAAATTCCTGAGAGGCAGGAAGTATTCCTTCCCTATCAACCAGAAGGAAAAGAGAAAATCCAGTGATAACTCAAAGCTAAATGCTTACGGCCAGATCAAGAAATTAAATAATAAGAATAGTAAAAATCTGATGATGCTCAATGTTAGCGGAGACCTTTTAGCCCATGGTTATGAAGACTCCTCTGGGTATTCACACACTAAAAATCGCATGAGCATCTCTAAACCTAGTGCTAGTGGGTCCAGACAGAATCCTATTAAGTATTCAACAGGGAGTAAGAAGAAAAAGAGCAGCAGTGCTCAGTCCTCTCCTCAAAGGAATGGGCTAAAGTCTACCAAGAATCAGGGATATGTTAATGGCATCAACATTGGTTTAAATTCTGGCCCAATTAACGAATCCAGGCCGTATTCAGCCAAGAATTCCTCGTACAACCGCACTAAATCATATGGCTCCAAAGGCAAATAAAAGTGGAATGAAGAGGAGCAATTCTAAGAAAAGTCCTACAAATGCTAGTAAAGACTTCTCAAATGCTTTTGGACACAAGTTTTCACATCCTGGTGGGATCGGACTCTATGGGCCAGGAAAAATAAAGATAAATAAAGAAAAGCCAAGTGTATCATCCAGAGGTTCAGCCAGGTGGAACAAGTCTCCTAACAACCCTAATGGGTCAAAAATAATGAAACAAAAGGGGGTAAGTTAGAAAAGGATTAATTTTGAATTCTAAATCCTCATTTGCAAGTTTAAATTTGATGACAAAAATTAAAACCCTACATAACATACAATAGGAAAAGAAGGAACGAGTCAGTTCTAATAAAAACAGGAGACAACATGATACATCGTTTGGAGGTCTGAAAAAGACATCAATTAATAATTATATGAATAATTCAAAGAACCTTGACTCTTCTCAAAATCCAACAAAAAGTCAGAAGCTACCATCAAGAGAAAAGAAGAGGAAAGGAAGAGATCATTCATCAAAATTAGCACAAGGAAAATCTAACACTGGAACGAATCTTAAGGAGAGATTACAAGAGAATGGAGCTATGGTGGATGAAAACCTTGTAAAGCCTCATGGATTCACTTTCAAGACCAGAAAATTATCTGCTGACCATTCCAAATAATGACAAGAATACTCTTCAAGGCCTCAAACATTCAAACCGCTCCAGAAAAGCTCACTCAGGAAGGCCATCCCACAGAGTTTCCAGAGCCGAGTCCAGAGACACCAGCAGTCGCAGTCACAAAGAAGATGCTAAAGCTCCTGCTGACAACGACAAGCCAGCCAACAACCAGGCTCCGACCGAGACCAACAAAGATGAAGCCTCCAAAGAAGACACCAACATTGTGACCAAGTTTGCATTTGCAACGAGGGTCGGGTACATTCCGAACAACCCGTACAAAGTGAACCAGGACGCCTACATTCTGTCACCAAATATTTGCAAACTGCCTGCCTTCCACTACTTCGGAGTCTGAGATGGACATGGACAGAATGGCAAAGAAGTCTCTGGGTATGTCAAGCAGCGGCTTCCAGTGCTGCTTGAGAACAACGTCAAAGCCACCGGAGACGACAAGAAGTCGCTTGCTGACGCCTTCGTCACTGTCAACACCGAGCTGGACTTTGTACCCTTCGATTGACAATTTTCAGGGACCACTTGCTGAACGATCCTGTTCAAAGGAAACAGACTTATCAGCGCCAATGCAGGCGACTCCAGAGCCATCGTCGTGCGAAACTCTCCAACACAGTCTGCTAAAGGTGTCACCAGCATCCAGGTCGAGCAGCTGACTAGAGACCACAAGCCTGACGAGCAGGACGAGTACTCACGCATCATCGACAAAGGAGGCCGAATCGAAGCGTTCAAAGACATGAATGGAGACCCCATGGGGCCAGTGCGAGTCTGGATCCAGCACGAAGACGTTCCAGGACTGGCAATGTCGCGGTCACTTGGAGACAAAGTGGCTCAGTCGGTTGGAGTAGTCCCTGACCCAGAAATCTTGGACTACACGCTGACGCCACACGATCAGTTCATTCTGATTGCTTCGGATGGAGTCTGGGAGTTCATGTCCAATGTCGACGTTGCAAGGCTGGTGTACCCATATGTTGAGAAGAACGCTCCAGAGGCAGCAGCAAATGTTCTTGTAAAGGAGGCAACTAAGCGGTGGAAGAAGGAGGAAGAAGTTATAGATGATATCACATGTATCATTATTTTCCTGGATGTGAAACCTTAATCACTTTTTAAGTTAATTATAATTCCCATATCTTCAGTCTATGATTCCCTTAAAGGGGTTTTGGGGTTTTGGGGTTTTGGGGTTTTGGGG